GTGCTGTATTAAAAAGAGCATGGCCACAGGTCAACGCAGGTGATTCTGTCCCTCCACTCTGCTCTTAGTGCAGAGGAAGGCCACAAAAATGACTGGAGGGACAGAACACCTATCCTGTCAGAAAAGGCTGAGAGGCTTGATGTTATTTAGCCTGGTGAAGACTCTGAAGAGAATTTACTGTGACCATTCAGTAYTTAATAGGGGTCTGTAAGAAGGATGGAGCAAGGCTTTTTATCAGGGCCTGGTTTTGATATAGACAAAAGGAAGAAGGTTTCTTCACAGTGAAAATCATAAAACACTGCAGCTGTTTGTCCAGAGAGGTGGGGAATACCCCATCTCTGGAAACATTCAAKGTCAGTTTGTATATGCTCTAAGTTCGTGTGTGTGTGTGGGGTAGGGGGTAGCTTCACTTCCTGCCCTGCTTGGCTGTGGGGGGGAGGATGGTGGACCCGCTGCCTGTGGGGGAGAGCTTGCCTGCTGCTGCAGAATCCAGCGTCCTGTCGTCGGTTCCTGTTTGTYGCACTGTGGTTTTCGGCCCTTGTGCCTTGCCAGGACCCCTGTGATTCCAGCTGCAGTGGTTGAGTTCTGATACACCTATTCTGCAGCCACAGGATTCTGCTCRTCTTTTTGCCCATCTGACTCTTCTGGGGTTTCTTGCTGTCCAGAGGAGCACCGAAATWGGCGTTTTTCCCCTGTGARTTTGCAGGGGAACTTCCCTCTGTCCATCTCTGCTGGTTTGTGTCCGCCATCAGCCACGYGGGAGATCTGASCCAGCCGGGACCCGCGCCACAGCGCCCCCTGCAGCYGCCRGGGAATCATCGCACCCGCCCTGCCCGGCCRGGAGCCAACAGCGGCCCTGCCAAYGGGACTGTAACTGCACCAAAGGGGAGGCTGTGTCTSTGTRAGGCTGTCACTGGGTTTGGGACYGGGCTGGTTGTTGCTATTGTTATTGTTACTTGTTTCACTTTGTTATACATACTAGTAAAAACTGTTATTCCCTTTTACCCATATTCTTGCCTGAAAGCCYGTGATTTTCAAAGCCATAATTCAGAGGGAAAGGGGGTGGGGGTCATATCTACCACTCCGAGGAAGGTCTCTGCCTTCATTGGCAAACATCTGTCTTTCAAACCAAAACACTACAGCAATCCAATATGGAGAGTTGTCAAATACAGATAAACTTCATACAAAGGATAATTACATTCCATTCAGTAACTATCGGTATTACAGTAATTCRCTTCTTCACTGAGAATGCTGCTTCAATTCATCTAACAATTAGAGCATTTTCTTCTATTTTTATGCAATCCCATATACTTATGTGATAAAAGTAATATATACCACAATTTATTTTCCTTTCTTCAGGATCATGTGAAAATTTTCAACATACRTTTGCTACTACTGTCATATACAAACTATCTTCAGTTATCTTTCTTCAATTCAAATGCCGGAAAGGATTTATTTTGACTAACGATATTAAATCAAACTGCGTTTTATTCTCTTGCTTGTATAATTAATGCATACTTTATACTGTTACATTTATTACTTCCAGATTTTATCKCACCTTTCACAGCTGCTAAGTTGCGAGAGAGCTCTCATGATGTCCTGTTCTTGTTTCCTAATGGTATACTTTATATTCCTGCTGCCGTTACCAAACTCTTTTCCGAAGTCAWACAGTACTTCTAGAAATGTACACTAAATAAGCACTCCATACTACAAATGCRAATATTCTAGCTGAACTAGTCAGCTGGCAAAATTCCTTTAAAAACCATATATAGACAATATGACTGCACTCGCCATTGCCTCTGGGGAAAGAAGACTAAAGGGCTCTGCAGTCTTGAATCCAGGGGTGTTATGCAATCTGGAGAATAAAGCAAGCAAGAAAAAAGAAAKAGGAGCAAAATCTATTTCTCATAAAAGTAATCAAAATTTTGTTTCCTTAAGCCTTTTAAGGTACAGAACAATGGCAGATTAAAATAATATGTTCTACCTGTTCAGAGAAAAGGTACCTAGGATGTATAAACACCAGGCACAAGCAAAATAAAGGATAGACTGAATACTTACTACCAGATCAAAAAAAACGTTTAATTGAAGCATACAGTTTAACAGGTTAGGAGAGATTTGGCTGAGAATTACGCTAGTGCCAACTGTGCAGATCTAACACAAGCTATCTAAACTCAAGGAAAGAAAATAACAKGATGAAATCTGAGGTAAGAAAAGGTGTTCAAGTCCTACACTTTTTAWTAACTAATTTAAATACAAGCTTGTTAGTTACTCACGTTCTCAAGATGTTCCACATACCTTCAGTTATCTTTTGAGGAACAAGACTTGCTGCCTCCCACCCCTTCTAACCTGGCTCTCAAGGATCTTCTTCCCATGCAATCTCAAAGAAGAGACCTCATAGCTTTTGCAGCCTGCTCCAGCTTTAAATGGTTACTACAACTTAAGCAACCAYATTAGTCTCCATGGTTCAACAATAAAGGAAGCACAAAACCCCCTAATTTATACTTTTAGCTGCTACAGGTAGACAACCAGGAAGAAGTCATCGCTTTACAGTGCTTTCCAGCAACTTATTTTTTCTCTTACTCATATTCACATAATTTCCATAAATAAGCTACTGAAACTAAAGAACTTAACCTAGGTTCTAAAAGTTCAAGAGGAGTAGTAACCCCAAAATGTGATTAGATGGTTAGTCAATAGCGAGAAATCAAAATGTCCGTGTTCTTAAAAGGGGCTTTCCTAATTAATTACTTCAGCTTATTATAACATTGCCTATTATCCCTGTCATTCCAGATTTCTGTGTAAACATGAAACAAAAATATTTCARTATTTGTAGAAATTTGTATTTCCCAACTTACAACTCATCCAATTCAACAGAATACTTCCAGGTTTTCAGAATTCTTGCACCCCTTTTCACAGACATATAAACCACTGCTTGAAAAATATATCTAACATTTATTAAGTCAGAAATGCATTATTACAGACTACTCACCAAGTGTAATTGTAAACTGGAGAAGACAGAGCTGTCACAAATAAAATGAACAGCACAAAGGACATTGTACTTTTTGGTCCTTAGCAGACCTACCTATAAAATGAAAATTACCTTTCTTGACTGCTTCTACTTARAAATTAAATGGTTCAATTAAGTGTGTTTAAGAAGGTGCATAAATATTATCAGAGCCTAAATATTATTCAGGCGCCTTCATGATGCTATCACATAAAGCTTCAACAAACACTGTAAAAATACCTTCTAATTAGGAATCTGATATCATTGATACCCAGAGTGAACAGAAAGAAGAGCTACAGGAAGAACTACACAACAGGTTCTGAGAAGCCATTAGACCAATGATGCTTGAAAGGTACATCAATGAAAAATTTCAGCTGACAAAACTTTCTTTTTTCTTTCAATAATACCAATTTCCAATTAAAATTTGAACATACAAAACAATAATTTTATTTACTTAAAACAATGATGGAAATTTAAATTACTCAGCTGGATTCTTAATATTTCACGAGACTACTTTAATCTACYGAAGAAGATTTTCACTAAGCAGCATTATTTTATGATACAAAAAGTAGTTGCTCAGACAGTGAACACCGTAACTTAAATTGACGGCAAGTAAATGAAAAATGAGCAAAAGCCTGATAGCCAGAAGCACAATGACCATGTTTTTTCACAAAATGTCTTCTAAGGAAATACAAAGTAATGAAAAAAGAAAAATAGTAGCAGCAAAATTCTAAGTAGACAACCCTTCAAAGTTGCCTATGAAGCTCAGGCAGTTCTTTTTTTAAGCAGAGCACCAAAAGTTCAAAATGCCCCATTTAAGAACAGGCCGTCRTCTAGGGATTATTTCTAGATTAGTGCCTTTATGTAACAGAAATAACAGGAAATAAAGAAAGAGGTAGCCTTCTCCATAATTTTTGACATTTTTCTTCCTACTTAAATCTCCAAGAGAGGTTATACTACTGTTGCTTCTGAGTGAAAAATGCATACCTTCAAAAAACCTGACTGACAAGTTGATCAAGAGAAGTTAATTTGCAATACTTGCAGTCACACAACTCTACATAATAAGCTCCAAGTTACATGAATACCACAAACTTTGGTGTTTTGAACAGAGGTGGATCAACAGACATTTAGTCAAAGTACTCTTCAAGGTTTTTTTCAGTTATATTTGGTTTTAATGTTGTTAGCCATTGCCAATTAGTAAGTACCTTCCTACAGTACTCTTGAGTATTTTTGACCAACTTTTCTGCTAATGAGGGGCATTGTAATGCAAATGTGTTAGAATTGAAAAGGCCTTACTTCTACTGGTTCGCCTGGTCTGATCTTCCCAGTACAAAATTTGTTGTCAACTCTGCTAATGGCTTAATTAAACACAGTACAACAGCACTGGAAGAAACTCTTCTAGCCACTGTGGATGTTCAACACCCCAGAACAACACAATCATATGTCTACAATTTAGGTAATGATTGCTAACATGTCAGTAAAGACTAAGCTGCACCAATTACTTATTCTGTGCTTGYGGTTTATCTTAAAAATCAGTCTAGGAAACTGAAAATGTTTATTACAAGGCAAACAACAAAGTATCCAGATAATCAGAATGGATTAAAAACACTGTGTATAAGAATAAAATCTGGAAGCTGTACCTGAATTTATTCCAAGTGTGTGTGTATTCCAAGTGCAATTAAATAAGCTGCTGGACCAACAAAAAGCATAAAACATATTGGTTGCAGCAAATGGGCACTCCCAGTTAACTCTAGTTTTATGTTTAAGACATTAAACATAGACAATTTGACTCAACTATAGCAACTGCTTATGTTCACCTCCCTGTGAAAGTCTACAAACTGATTTATGTYCAAATTTCTATGCTATAGGGTTTCAGAATGTATTGTGGCAACTGGATTCTTGTTAACTGGATTCAGGACAAACTGAAGACTTTTCAAGCCTCGAATCAGAAAAACATGGCAATAGAATTTGATTTCAAAAACCCAATCTTTAACCTTACCATTTCTCTCACAGAAAAATCCCACAGAGGGTGCTGTGCTGTTTCATTCCCAGCTCTTTCAAAGCTGGCTAGTGTAAAAGTCACCCTAAGAAACAAAGTAATTTATTAGACTTCCAATTGAGCATTGTCTTCCTCCCATCCTCAGTGTCTTTGATCATTCATGGTGGCCATTAACAGAAAAACAAGTTTTTTAGAGCTTTTTAAGATGAAAAATGAGGATAAAAAAAAAGTTAAAATGACATTTCCAAAAATTTCTCTTTACCTTGGCACTACAGACAGCTACATTAGCAGGGAGCTGGGAAAACTGCTTCAACTCAAATACGTCTCGCACCGCCCACCGGCTCAAATGATTTTCAGCCTTGCTGGAGCCAACCACGTTCTGATTTGAATGAATATATGCCACTTCCTGAACACCATCTGATATATTACAAGAAAAATACAATCATAGATATCGGTTATTCCAAAACTCTGATGGTACAGCTGCACTCAAGAATTCTGTAATTTAAAAAAAAATTACACTCAAGTTGTAACATTTGTAATGATTTTACTCAGCACCAGGTTTCTCAGCTCTATGAAATTAACATCAATCATCAGACTTACTTGGATTTATCACAGTTCCATACTACTTCCATTTCAGTGTGATTATTTTCAGATAGACAAAGATGTTTCGAAGTATCTGTAGCTTAATGGTTGCAACACCAATGGTTAAAATTGAGTCTTTCAGAATCAAGTCTTCTACATGGTGTTTAAAACTCGTACGTTACTCTTTTYTTAATGTACACTTTCTTAACAGCTCTATCAAGACTCTTAAGATTWTACAGTTCAAGTATTTGGTCTGTGAATTTTTAATAAATCTTCAATCTCAGCATATTTCAAGAGATGTAAGAGTTAACACAGTAATCCAAGGCAGCCTGTCACCCCAGAAGACTTCAAAGTAAGACTAATACATAGACAGATATGCAGAAAGGTATTACGAAATAGTAACTTAGCAGAGCATTTATTACATCTTGTAACCAAAAAAACATGTACAGCAAGAACTTAAAATGTCAATAATGTGCTGACAATATTAAATTAAACATATGTTTAATGTGCTGACAACATTAAACATATGTTATTATGTTAATTAAAATAAAATCAAATAAAGTTAATAGTTACCTAAATATCTGTCCATTGATTCCATTTTTCGCTCTTGATGCTCAAATTCCATTTTACTTGTACAATTCTTATGCGTAGCATAATTGCTATATTTCATTTGTGTAGAGGTATCTTGAATAGGATACACCGTTTTAGAACCAAACTGAACTCTGCCTCTCAGTCGTTTACACTTATAGTTTTGCTTTCTGGCATGAATTTTCTCAACTGGAGAGTTATCTTCAGAGGATGAGAATTCATCTATATTCTGAGAACCACTTTTCTTTCCTTTTCTACTGCGCTTCTTTGCTTGTTGGAGAGATTTAGAGACATTATCTAGTTCATTGTTAAGGGCACATCTTTCCTTCCACCTTGGAAAGTTCAAAGTTCCTAGCTTTCTTGATTCAGAATTATGGGAAAATTCAATATCATCAGACTCATCACTTATGTCACTTGCTCCTTTCAAATTTGTGTTATTCTTAATGTCTTCAAAAGACATGGCATTGCTGAAATTTGACTCAGTACTGTGGACACCAAATTGCCTACTGTTTCCCTTAAATACAAACCCAGCTTTTTCTTTTGCTAACTCTTCAAGATTTTCAGATGTTGACCTGTGTATTTCAACTTCTTTAGTAAGCACTGTTTGCTGGCATACTTGACCTTGGGTAGGAAAGATGACATCATCATYATCCTCTTCAGAACTACTTTCAGTTTCCATGACTGTATCACATTGCTTTGAAATGCCTTGACCCTCATTTTTTCTGTCCCCTTCCTCCTCAGAGCCTGATAAACCAAGCCAGTCTGTACTGTGCATATCTTGTTTATCAGTTCCATCTGGTGACAGAACAGCTTTCCCATGCTCCAAGATAGGCACACTGGTTCGACATTTTTGAAAATCAGCGTTCTTGCTATCTACTTTTTTTCTTACAGTGTGATCCTTAGAACTTGAATGACAGTTATTGTCCCCTTCTTTGGTGGTTTCAATTTCTCTCTGCAACAGCTTAGAGAATCCACACTGCATTAACGAAAGCTGTCCTTTTGTAACCATTAAATTATTTGCATTGCATGACTTCCTTCTGTCACTTTTTTTCACAGAAGTCTCCAGAATATCATCATCACTGAAGTCGTCCAAAAAACCCATTTCTTCTCCTTTTAATTGTGCCTGAATGCTTTGGGGATTTCCATCTTCTTTACAATCTGGTTGTTCACACTAAACAAGTAGAATTACAGCAAAGTCATTTAACATTAATAGTATATACAGAACACCTAATTCCAAAGCAGTGTAAAAAAAGTAGATTTTCACCATGTAACCCAAGCAAAAAATATACATAATARTATTACAAAATGCAAAATAAATCATAATGAGAAATTATTGAAGTCTCTGGCAGCAGAAGGTTTTTAGCAGAACAACACTGAAAATAACCAATAGTATTAGGTACTTCAAACAGTATATGCTGAACACTGCTAAAACAACCTATGGCTTCACAATCCACAAGTTTATGATAATCTCATTGCTACTTTTTGTCTCTCAAAGGTAGTTTGGAAGGTGACTCCATGATTCAAACTTTAATATGGTGTAATGACATTCATAAAAAGAAAAATATCTCAGCACAGTGGTTAAATTCCTTGCACATAGGGGCTAACATTGTAAGAATCACAAGTACATAAAATTCCACTCAAAACTGCCCAGGCAATCTTACAATATTTTTAGGACACTGAAGTCCAGAACACAGCTCCAAAACAGAAGGAAATCACTAGATAATTACATACATTAAAAATAAAAAAGAACAATACTGTACAGACCACTGCTTTGGTGGGACTCACTGTCTGATTGTCTGACTACAACAACTTAATAGCCCAGGTCTTCTAGCATTCCACAAAACCTGAAGCTTTCAATCATCTAAACCGAGTGCACACCTTCCACAATTCCCAAAACAAAATCTTCTGAACACGGTAAAAGTATTATCAGCCTAACAACCTATTGCCCACATCTGCCACTGCAGTACTGGGAACAAAAGACCTGTCATATTCTGGTCCACAGCCCACAAAGACATCTCACCTTTTCTGAGCTGCATGAAGGACTCTCTTCCTTTAGCAATGTAGTTGCTGTCATGACTCCTGCTTCTACTCGCCCTTCCCTCTAAAACAAATAAGTTAACAAAAACAGATACAGATTTTATTACATACAAAGGCAAGCATAGGAAAAGAAAAGCTTCTTTTTTTCTATGAAAGTGTAATCACTGGAAGTACAATCCAAGGTCTAGACTAAATTCCTAGCAGAGGAAAAATAATAAAATAAAGGGAAGGATGGAAAGAAAAAGGAACATGGAATAAAGCTGCAGCAAATTTGAAAATGCAAGCTGGCTGCAGCAAACATGCTGTGCTGCATACAAAATGTATGACACTGCATATACTTAAAGTCAGTTTACACTATACACTACAGAATTACAGTCTTTTTAGACTTTCTTGTTTAAAGACAACAATCTTTTCAGAKTAATTAATAAATTAATACTAAAACACGAAGTCTCAGTGATTTACTTCCACCCTATAACATTTCAAGATATAGCATTGTAAAATACATTTATTTATCGAACAGTTATTGACATTGTAAAAGGTACTATAAAGAGGTTATTGTGATCACAAAAGTATTTTTATGATCAGAATTCTAGCTTAAAAGATCGGTCTGAGTTATTGATGAATAAAAGGTAACTGTGCACAAAGCTGCATGAAAGTATCAAAAAAAGTAGTTTTTATTTAAAAAWATATATATATTATGAAATTTATAAAAATAATAATCCAAGCTTTTTCCATTCTTGGATTTAAAGAAATCTATCTGCGTCTGCATCAGAATGAGAAATTAACATGCCTAGYTCACTCAAGGCATTGCACAGACAACTACTGATTAAGTTTCACCATTCTGTTTAATAGTGTTCATTTGAAACGATGACCAAAACGTCTCATGGGTAAGGGAAAAATGTAAAACTAATAACCAAAAGGGTAACCAATTCACACCTCCAGGATGTCTTTGGTAAGACAGGACCCATGAGTTCTAAGTTTGAAAAGGTTATGAATCCCAAAAAGCTCTCCTTGATGTTCCTTTGATCCTTGCACTGCCTCGAAATACCGCCTGGCATTTTCAGTTCCAATCACTGCACAGTGAAGTTGCTAAAACAGAACAACACAAGACATGTCAGAAGTGTTTGCTACAACAACACGTCAGAATTTCCTGGCATCCACATTATATACACAGCTTTAGCTGGAACAAGAACAAATTCCTAAGATAGGCTATTTTGTTTTAATTTCCCTGGCAGATGTTGGTATAATAGATTGCAGTATAATAACCTGCTTGGTTTGACAATTACAAAAAAAAAAGAATATTTGAAGTCTTTTACTGAATTGTTGCATATTATCAGACACCTACTATATACCTTACTGGCACTCCTCTACATCCTGACAGCTCAGCTTCCTCTATACTAAGTTATTAGTATCTTTTTCACTGTCCTTTGCACTGTCCTTTACTTGCTAAGGGAAAGCAAGCCAAGTACAGCCAAAAAAACCCCAACCCTCAGACTTATAATCACTCTGTTTATTGCTGCTTATTCAACTCAAAGAACATGAGTCAATTWAAAAAAAAARRAAAAAARGRAAAARRAAARRAAAAAAAAAGCACAAAATTTATATGTGCTTTCAAGATTTATATATGCTTTTTGGGAATCCAAACAGACAATATCCAGGTCGTCTTCTTCTTCTACAAATCACCAACTCCAAAGATCTCTCGGAAGCCGGCTCCCCTCCTTCAGAATTTTAGTTCGTTGTAATCYGCTATTGCTCATTTTGTTAGCCTTTCTGAAACTTCTCTTACTGATACTTGCTGTTGAAAGGAATTCTCAAAAGTACTTCGCACAATTTGGAGCAGGATCCTCTCTAAGCTTTTCCACGAATGTGCATGTAAAGAATACATTAAGGGGGCTTTTTTGCAATGAACACTTCTTTAAACCTTACTAATGTCCACAGAGCAGTACAATTTGTGCTCCTGACATGATAAAAACCCAAATTATTAGCTTTTATGTTTTTATGCCACTGTCCATCAAATTTAATTTTAGGACTTATCACACATTATATTTAAGTTGCCTTTCTAGTATGTTATTTCAACTACTAAAATGTCTTAATTCTGAGCTTCTAATACAGAATCTCTGCCAATTTCCAATTRGCTGTTTGGCCCATCACCTACTTCTTTTAATTTTTCCCTATGTTTCCTTTTTTTTATTTGGATCATTTTGTCAAAATTAAACACCATTCTAATGGCTTTTTGGCTTTTACAAAACAGACTTTAAGTGAGATAAAAGTCACTGTTACCCTTCTGAAAGTGGCATTTTAAAGCAAACCATACACGTTCCTTAACAATAGCTGAAGATTTATCTTCCTGAGGATAAATTCCTTTTTATGTCTATCTGCTCTGTGAAATCAGACAATCTTAGGACGTTATTTTTATTTGTCAGGAGAAATAACGACAATCTCTTTATTGCTGCATTTCCCACTCATTCAGCCTTCAACCCCCTCCTTGTAAATAACCCAGCTACAAGTGCTTTTCACTGAAGACTCGTTAACAACTTTTTATTTTTATGGACAAAATTTCAAATTATTAGGTTAATTCCTCAAGTCTGACGAAGTTTTTTTCAATATCTAGTATCATTCTCCCACTTTTGTCTTTTCAATGCAACGCATTCTTCATGACAACCTGTATCCCAACAGTTTTCTTCCTTTCTCCAAGTTCACATGCCTATAACATCAGACCTTGAAAATCAATCATCTCATTTCTGAACTTGCAACTTTGTTGAGAAAAACATGTTCATATTTATTCCAGGTTCCTATTATTCYGTAACCTGCTCTTTGCTGATAATGTTTGAGTTTACTTATTTTTTTGTTTTAATTCTGATCACATCAGGAAACAGTTCCTGGATTATGCATTCCTCAAACCACACACTTTTCCTGATTTTAGGTACTTAAACCTGTCATGGTTTATTCCCCAATTTAGTGTTCCCACTGAAACATTACAAACCATAAATCACTTGTCCACTCCTTCTACCCCATTCCCCTGCAGCAAGCTGAAGAGGAGAATTAGAGGCTCAAAAGTAAAGATCCAGGGTTGAGAGAAGAAAAATTTACCAGAAACAGCAGTGAACTAATAAAAAAACAACAGCAACAATACGAATAACAGAGTGTACAAGAGAGGTGAACGAATCTCACACACCTGCTCACCATTTGGAAAGCCCCCACAATACCCAACATCTCCCTTCAGCTTGTTACACGACCCACAGGAGGCAACTACCCCCATTCTGGGAGAATTATGGGAGATGGTATAGAAGAGCTTTCAGGCTCTAGCCATGCCCTTTTCTGGCTACTGCAAAAATTAATCCTGTCCTGGCCAGAACCAAGACAGAGCCTATCAACGAAAGTCAAAAAATCTAGAGTGCAAGTGAGCCAGGCTGAGTGTTCCAGTGAGCAGCATCATTCTCATCTTCAAAATAGCACCAATGACATTTCCCTCTCCTTTTATAAGCAAGTTTCCGGAACCAGGAAAGTCACAAATGCCTCTTGCTTTTCTCGTACAGCACCAGCAAGATTTCTGCTTTACTTTCTCCAGATTTTCATGAGAAAAAGCTGCCTCAATCAGACTGCTGCAGATACTAACTACAACTATCACAGCTGTACTTCACAATTCTTAAAATATAAACAGTTCTCCATATAAACTGAACAAAATTTATACTGCATAATTAAACTGCCAATAGTTACAGAAAAACTTGAATTCAAATATAATTCTGTTCCATTCTTTGACAATTGCTAAGATGCATCTTTGCTTAGAAAGTCAAGATAACAGCATATATCATAAACTTAAGGTAAATTACTATTTTACCATAGGTTAGATTAGCTTTCAGTCCCTGAAACTGCTAGGAAACTATTCGTGAACTTTACCTGTTTATAAACTTGTCGCAAGTACATCATCTCTTCCACAGTTCCCAAGGATATCAATCTAAACACTTTAACAGCTCTGTATTGGCCAATTCTATAAGCTCTGCAAGGACAGTGGTACATTAGAGCTCTTACAGGTAGTAAAAAACWATTAACAAAATAATGAAAATATAAAAGCATTCTAATAAAACAGGACAATTCTAGATCATGCATATGTTGATTGGGTTGTTTTCCTTTTCCAAACTTTCCTCAGTAACTCATTTCCTTTTCCTTTACCCTTAGTATTCCATGTTTCTCCCCAGGCTTACCCAGTTTAAAGAGCTTTCTCCTCATTTTCTATCACAAGAACTGCCTTTCATCTCTTCAGGAAACAAATCTTCCACTCTGTTTATCTCAGGTTTCCGTCTTTTTTCTCTGTATCTCCACCTACTTTTGCTCCAAGTATTCTTCAATTTATATAGGAATTATATAGGAATAAACTGATGGATTACTTATGTTCTTTCTTAACTTTATAAATCACTTTACAAGACACAATATCAAAAAAAACAGCTAATGAACTGGCAGTATTTGATTCAAATGGTAAATTCTGAGACTTCTAACAGACTATATTCCACAAAATTCACGAGAGACTACAACAATTCACAGTAATATGATCTTACAAAAATGCTTTAAAGGCATTCCCAACATGTTTCTGTCACATATATTTCTCTAGAACAGGTCCACATAAACCGAGAAATCAGAATGACCCTTAAAATGGAATTGGCATAGCATGAGATAACAGAAACCAGTTTATTTCTGCTCATGAAAATATAAATCTGTTGAATTTTGAAGGCTTTCAATATTCTAAGAATAACTTTGAGTAACATGAGTAAGTTACTCAAAGGCTTGTCCTGGATTCCTAGGGAAACATCCTATACTCAAAAAGACTTGAGGGAAAAATCTGTATTACTGGAAATACTGCAATACCATAATATCAGAGAGAGAAGTGATTGCTACAAAGACATAAATCTTCACAACGGTGAAGCAGAAGAGAACATAAAGAATGCTTTCCTTTTAGGGTTCTGGAACTCAAAACATCATTTGAACTAGGGTCAACTACAATGTACCCTGTTGTGAAAAACACAAGGAAAACAACATGTATTCTAGAGATCACATGGGGAGTTTTTTGTTGAGTTTTTCTTTTGGCCCACTGCCACAAAAAAGAAATAAAGGAAAATAAGTTGTAAAATTTAGGGTTAAAAATAATCACATCAAAACTAAAAATTAATTTAGCTGGACTTTTTCTATTCATGCCTTGTGGATGAGTCAGACAAAATTCTTACTTGAGGGAAGTTTTAGTTGGACAATCAGGTTAAAGAGTGAAAGGAAGAGCACAAAATGGATCAAGTTCTGTATTTTGAGAGTGTACCTGTCAATCGCTTGAAGATCATTTGCTGGATTCCATGTAGGATCAAACAGTATAACAACATTGGCACCAACAAAATTAAGACCCAGTCCACCAGCCCTAAAAACATAAAAATGAAAAACAGAGCTATATGATAGCATGAAAAACTAGATTGTTCTGTATTAGATCCATATCAGCATATGCTTCCCCAACATAAAAAAAGAACATATTAAAGATACTGAAAACAATGCAGTACAGCTTTGTGTAACTGTTGTACTAATAATCATCAAGTAGTCAAATAACMACTGCTATAAAATGCAGTCTTCTCATGTACATATCACAATTGGTACAGACTGTATGAATAGTTGAGTCATAACCAACTGCTATCAACTTATTTAGCAAAAATCCCAATTGCTACTTCGTTATCATTAAGTCCCACACAGGCCAACTTCCCCTAATACCCCAAATACCATACTGAAATTCACTTTTATGCCAGTTAACATTATGGAAGCAGGAAAATTGCAGGTGAAATTTTACTTCCTCTAATACCAGTATACAGCTTTTGACAATAATTCTATGCAGCTTCCACTAAAACGGTCACAATCTCAGTTAAGTCATATCTGTAYGCACTAAAAACTACCGCAAGTGTATTTCTGAAGTAAGTTATTCAACTCTTAAAAACACAGTTGGCCACACAGATGCATACGAGCAACATCTGCATAGTCATTAAAAGGAAAAAAGTCAGAAAACTGTCTGTTTTGGGGGTTAGAAGTCACAAGGGTACCAGTTACGCCATCTTAAAACATTCAACAGCTTCAACAGTAGAGTGCTTTCAGGTAAAACCTGCAATCCAGAAAAGAATTTGAGCATACGCCTAATCTGAGGCAGCTCATTGCTGAACCCTACAAAACTGCTCAGTAACTTCGACTTTGGAATGTGCAGAGCTGAATGATTTGATAGGAACAAAAGTGAGGAAAATACAGCTGCAAAACAAGAAAATATTGAAAATTCTTTTTGACTGGCTCAAGCAACTATTGCACAAAAGAGATAAGTACCTATACAAAGTTAAATACTATTACAACACATGCTAAATACTATTATTAAGTAAACCATTAAAACAACTCTTCACATTGATATGGGCATCACTAATTTCAAGTGTGTTATTTTCATAAAAGAGGTACTGCAAAATTGAAAAAGTCAAWCCTATTTAATTAAGTAAGCACCTGGTATAACGATTACTTTAAATTTTACTAGTTTGAAGCAGACAAGAAAGGTAAAGTTCTCAGGAATAAGAATGAATGGAGACAGAAACCAAAAACTTATGGAGCCCCACTACGTCTTGGTTTTCACGACTCCATGTCAATGTAAATGCATTTGTGGCCTTTTCCTTCCGGGTATGGTGTAGTTTTGGGTTAGTTAAATCTGGAAATGGAGAGGATATGGAAACCTGCCAGAATTAATGGATGTTTCCAGAGGATGTATGTTCCCRAAGTGTGAAATACTGAATAACAGTATTTGGGTTGGGATCTTTTTTTCAGAATACATTATGGTATTTTTTGAAATTTAATTTGTTTCTTTTTAATGAAAACAGAGTTTAGCCTCTCATCTTTCCAAACCAGCCCTGCAGWTGGACTGAAACACAAGTTAAGATGTAAAACAGACTGTCCATAAAAATTAACAAAACAGATAGTTGGCTTTATAATAATTTTACCTTTCAATATTTTTAGGTATGACTCAAAAATTTAGGTAGTCCAAAAGAGGAAAGAATGGCTCCTGTACCCTCTGTGGACAGAAGATATGCAGTAGTTTATGCACTGCATATGTCCTCCATTTTACCTATCATTTTAATTAGCTGTTAGTTATTACCACAATTTGGTCCTTGCAAATTACTAAAATACTGCTCAAAATAAGAGTTTTGTTAAAAAGAACAGTTTCAAAAGATCGTCTTATTTAAAACTGCACAATCTAATACCTCAATGTTCAGAAGGTACAGAACAATACTGCACTAGGAAAGATTCTATGAAAGTCCTGACTATGTAATTCTGTTTGCCAAGCTAGGTTTTTTTATAGTTTCTAAGTTCTCTGTTTTAGTGAGATTTTGCAGCTGAAAGTCCTTTAAATGTATTCACATGTGTTTGAAACACTGCCATGAAAAATTGAAGCTAAATGAAGCCCCATAAATGTAAAAAGTAATGAACAGAAGTTCCATAATGGACAGTAACAGAGAATGCTGCAGGTAGAATGGAAGTGAGTATGCATCCTTTAATGTCTCTAGACATTTCTCTTTACCAAAAAAGAAAACTGAGATGTAAAAATAAATTTTTATTAACAATTAAAATTGTCATGGAATTATTCGAGAGAAAGACTAGCATATAAAAATCAAGTAACAGTGATTTAAAGGCAGGAATACTTGCTGCTCTTATTTATTCTAAAATACCAGGATGCAACAGAATTGTATTGACTTTTGTACTGCATGTACAGTTTCCCTTCTTCAGGCTAAGCAACATCATTGGAATTGCAAGCTCTGACATTCTCCTCTTAAGTTACAACAACTCCAGCAATTTATTTCAATGTTTCTAAGCATGCCTAAAAATCCTTTTCTCTTCTTATAAATAATCACATGTTTTCCCAGCAACACCAGTGCAGGATTGAAGTACTATTAAAGAGATGTTATTTCATGAGATTTAGAAGTTCCAACAGGTGTGTACCTATTCTTTCCCAGTGCTCAAGCTCAAATTCATGACCTATACCAAATGATTTCATGGAGTTTACAAGCTCTGAAGAAATCCATTATATTTTCTCTCAACAGCTATAAAACATATTTATCTAGAAAGCTGTATTAGCCACAGCTACCAATAAAAGCATTAGGAACAATCATATGACTATGATTGGTACCAATATTAACTGGAAGACTTGAGGTTAAATATACAGATAGACAAACTTTTATCCTTTATTTTTTTATTTTCTTTTTTAAGGCCCCATTTCCCAAAAAACATCACCAATCAAGTAAARCCAGGATTTTCGAAGCTTTGTGGGTTATATGATTTCAGGTAGAAACAGCATTTTGAAAAAAACGGAATATAAAACAGGAACATTGCAAATTTAACAGTGAAGTCATCACCACTGCTGCACTGTAATTCTCTGATTGGTGCTTTATGTTTTATAAGTTGCACATTAACTGTGCCAGTGAACATAATGGCAGTCTCAACATTGCTATGCAGGGAATTCATCCTTTGCAAAATGCACTTACACATCCAAAAGACCATGCAAGTATTTTCATGAAAATCAATATTTGGCTCTCTAAGCAGTAAGACTTACAAAACATACATAAATGGACTACACAGACATAAATGGACTACAGAACAGTCAGCCATAAGCTTTACAAGAAAGTACAGACAGAAGAGTATGAACCAATTCTGTCAGTGTGCTCTGTATTGAAAAATACAGAATATATTGTAAAGCATATTATTACTATATATGTGCCTGAAATCTGAGTGAAAAGAAAGATGAATCTCTTGTAGAGTGGAACTAGTATAAATCACTTTCTAATTTCCAAAGGCAATGGAAAAGCATTTACAAGTGTAAAGCTGCTTCCATTAAAGTGTATCAAGCAAAGAAACAGATCATTTCCTGCTACCTGTAATAAACTAGACAAACAACTGCACCTTCTATTTTGCTTACGACACACTAGTTACATTGACTGTAACTCCATCATGGTTTGTTCATTTGTTTTGCACAATGAGTAACACTAGAAACAACAGAATCAAGACCGTTTTCTCCAGCACCATCAAYAAGCAGAGAAGGCTCATTAGTCTCTACTCAAACTCTGAGAGGAGCTCAAAACTGAGAGGAGAAAGTCCATCTCTGTTTAGCCGACCTTCATTTTTACTTCTATGTAAATTCATGAAAGACAACTGATAGGGCTATGATTACAGTACTAAACAAGAGTGCAAGAAGCAAGAATCAGCCCTTCCTAATGCTTACAGATTCAGTATTTCCCCTCCATCTTCAGAGACAAGGGATATGAACTCATGAAGTTCTTAGAGAAGCTGATGGCCACAGATTCCACAGTTGAATCTGGTATGCATGTAATCTCTTCACAATCATACATATAAGCACCAGAGTATTTGAAGACTGCTCTGACATCCACTTGTAGTAGCTTTTAAGATGATGTCTGACTCCTAATTAAAYAGAAGCGGATCCTCCTAACTCCAACACACACACTTTCAGTARAGAAGAACTAAATTGACTGTATCATCAACAGTATTTCATCAAGTTTCATGAGTTTTCTCCGCTGGGCAGGAGGCAAAAGGAGCAAAGCTTCTCTTTGCTCCCCCTTCTGCCCTTGCCCAGTAAAAAAACCTCATCCAAGATGAAGCATGGAAGCAACCTAATTAAAACAAATAAATAGTCATTGTACTAACTGTAATTTTAGTTGATAATATAAATCTATTTCAAAATAATTCACTATCCATCATAAATTGATAAGCAAATCAACAGGTAAATACATTTTTAACAGACAACCAAGGATCTTGTCAAAATATTTTAAACAGACATGCTAGCTAATCAATGTAATTAATGATTTATAATACATTATAAATATATAATGTAATGTAATATAATCTATAATAAGAAGTAACAATATTATAGTAATACAATAAATAAATAAACAAAAAGATAATTTTTCAGTTCCATATGGCATTTCAAGTTCACTTGCTAGTTCTGTTAGTATAATACCATAAATTGAGTCTCCCTACAATAGAATTAAAAGCCTTATGTGGATAATGACATAATAATAATGTTTTAATAATAGTGTTTAAAACCRTGCCCTCAATCCTACAACAAATGGAAATTTAAAACTAGGAACCAGAGGACCCACTTCTTTCAGATCATAGAAATCCTCATGAAGCGAAGGAGAAGGGGAAGGAGAAAGTGTCCATGTATTTTAAGAAGCTTCAGACCAAAGTAGTAAGTCTATACTTACTCTAATTTTCTCAAAAAGTAACCCCTCACAAGCTCAGAGAGAAAAATGCAGAGTAACCCATTTACTGAACACTAAACAGACCTATTGAAACAAACTACAAGTTGAATTTTCTTACATTGTAGATACAAGACAAATGTTAATTTCTTGAATGCTGTTGAACTCTCTCACAATTCTGATCCTATCTTCTGATTTTGTATTTCCATCAAGTCTTCGGTAATCTAGCCCAGATGCCATACAGTACTGTTCCAGCACATCTAGCAACTGAGTGGAAAAATGAAGAAAAAAAGAAAAGAAAGTATTTAAAAGATAATACTGTGTTTTTAGCTAAACATGATCRTAGGGGCCATGCTTATCAAATATATTTTTAGTATATCACACATTGCAAATGCGAGTAAATCTTTGCCATTTTGGTATCAACATTCATGGTTTTCTTTAGYCATGATTCTACAGCACTCAAGGTGATTAATACTGGTCTGCTGTGGTCTCACTCCATCCTCTAGCCGTAGCTGTGTGTCACCTSTGTCACTCACTTCATCCAACACATAAGCAGGCAGTCCACTTAAACAGCTTCCTCCCATCTTAGCTTGAAATACAATAAATGAGCACTGGAGCCAGCACAGAGTRCAGAGTCAGACTTCAGGGACATGAAATGAAAGAGACTGCAGTAACCAGCAGTTAGTCTAGTCCAGACAGCATAAAACACCGCCTCAGACACATGAGTACTTTACTACTGCATTTAAACAATAAACTTGTAYTCTTTCTTAAAGCAAAAATAATTAGATATTTAAGACTCTGACCTACCATTCAAATTAATATTTTTTAAAATACTTTTTAATGCTATCATTACAAATACTTAAATAAAAAGCCCCAATACCAYTGAGTGCACTATTTCAGGAAATACATTATTCCCTAACAAGACAATCAAGGAGCATGTTCCTTAAAAGTAAAATGTAAATAGACCTCTTGCTCCAACTAGACAGTTTCAAATTCAAATCAACTGGTGCAGCAAGTCTCAGGATTGAAGTTTCATTGCTGCTGATGATCAAAAGTCAGCAGAATGAGGAAAGTTAACAACTTTCAGTGCTAACACAAAGGTTTTATGATATCACACTCATACTGCGATGTGACAGTGCTCTAACTCAAGACATACCAGCTGAACTCAGCCATGTGCATCTGAAGTAACAGAGCTATTTTAAAAAGCCACAGGAAAGGCAGAGGARTGTTACACTTGCTTTGCCAACACCATTTTTATCATGAGATAACGTTTCAATATGCCTGTGAAGTACAGCACATTACCCTCATAATTACTTCCCACAGTAATAAGGCAATGGGGTTGACCAGGTGTCACTTCAGTGATTCATGCTTCAGAACTCACTGCTGAAGTTAACTGATAAAAATCACATGAAGCTCACCTTTGTGGAAAAGGAGAAAAGAAGAACTTTATCTTTATTTTTTCGGAAGTGATTTAAAAGCTGCTGAAGGACCTGCAAAWGAACCACAGCAGAAAAATTAAGAAATTTTTAACTACAGGTCATTTCACACACATTTACTCATGTTTTCAATCTCTACACAGACTACACTATACTTAATTATTTGCAAAGCCTAACGGAGGCATAATAAAATCATTACTAACATAATAATGTGCARAAGGTAATGGAGATGCTGGACCTTTGCATTTTTCAGTGATGTACACGGAAATCTTACTGTGAAAAGGTCATCAGACCAATAAGAGGTAAATTCAGAAGCTACTTGCATCCATGCACAGACTGMAAAAAAAAGCTACTTATGCCATGCACTAGCTCAGATTCTGAGTTTTTGCATTTAAAAAATGCACACATTTATCCTGAAAACTCCAAGGTCTGTTTAAACTTTCTGTCCTGTGTCTGAGTTCGAGCTTCTTGGAACTTGTCTTCTTAAAATAATCAGTGAGATGTATGCCCCTCCCCACTCCCACTCTCATCTGTTGCTCTGTTTACAGTAGGATCCAGCTTCCCAGACTCTGCAGAGACCTTGAAATGCCAATAATCCGCCCACACACCACGTTCTTCTGGTGGGGAAGCAAATAATCCAGAGCCTTGTGTACAATAGTGATACTGTTATTTTCAAAGGAAGCATGTCCACATCTGGCAATGGCAGCTCCAAAGAACTGTGCAGAAGCCATACACAATGGGAAAAGAAGAATTTTCTGTACCACGACTATAGTTTTTTCCCACTAGACAATAAATATTTCTGAAATTGTATTTATTCACTGATAAATACATGAGCAGTTAATTAAGAGTTATTTCACTAAAAGCCTAACAAATCTTTGACAATCCAATAARGATGACTGTTTATATAAATGTTACAATTCTGGACAAATCTAGAAAATAAAATAGTAATTATACACCACTTATGAGCTCCTTAGTAAATGTTAGCCAGCCTGTCACAAGTGAAAACAAGGAACGAATGACAGATTTTTTGCCTTGTTTCATGTACATGAACATATAAACTAGGATTTCTTTTAMTGGGGGAAAAGAAATCCAAAACAGTCAATTTAACAAGAGCTATATTACCTACATTTGCATTTTATTAAGCCACATTAAGAAAAGAAACATAAATTACATTCTTTTAAACTAGAAGGAATTGGCTTCTGTGTTATTGTTGTTATTATTAAAGTAGAGGTCAAATACTGAAATTTCCTATAGGAGAATATAAAAATAAATCCACACAACTTGCTTAAATAAAATGGATACATTTCATCCCCATTGGGAATTTAGGTATTCCGGAGGAAGAAATAACTGTAACGGGGAAAAGTAATGAATGTTTTTGCACCAAAGAGAGGCAAATTCTATGCATGCATGTCAGAATATTATCCTGTATGTTGTCATCCAAAACAGAAATATTTGATCATACTCAAGCAAAAGTAACACGTTCTYTGCAAAAGTTCACATGAACTTAAACACATCTCCCCATTGCTACACATTGTAAGCTGTCTGTATGTGATGAAATTTTACCTCTCATTTTTGAGAATTTTTTGCTATGCATGTATTCAAATTAGCTACAGCATTTTTAAGCCTTCAAAGCCAGGCTTGCCTGGGTTTGTTTAATGGTTGAGATTTCTTGTAAAGTGCTCCAACGGACTTCCATTTTCCTAATATGCCAGGCAAAAATTAAAGCAATACAACTGTTATTCCTAAGMGATTTGCATTAAGAACAGTATTCCAAAACCCCACAAATGGATGTCTGTGGAAATATATGAGTAAAGTTAAGAAAAACAGAATTATTTCAACTGCCCCAACATACCCTTTACAGTTAGAAAGCTTATAGAGTCTCTCTGAAACATAATTTTAACAAAACTGTAGAAATAACCAAACAAGGTTGCCTGAATGAGAATTACTGCAGGCTTGTTAAGCAACACTTACTCATCCTCTTTTCCAAGCAGTYCCCAAGAATTCTCTGTGGACAATTTGCAATCACTGTGTTTCAAAGACAATGAACCCTTTGCYCTTATACTTTGCAGGTTCTCACTATCTTACATCATGACAGAAAAACAGTGATCTCCAAACAAAGCAGGACAGTCCTTTCATTAGGTTGTCATATTTTCGACTATTTCTACTTAAAAATTAAAGCATGAAATTCACCTTGTAATARAAAGTGTAAGAGGAGTCTGAAAACTGTATCTTCTGCAGTCGGACTGAAAAGAATGGGATAATTTCACAAAAAATCTAAAGCTCAGTAGACCACATCACCTACACTATAGGCCATCATTAAACATGTTTTGTTTCTCTTGCAACCAGAGAAAGACATTTTCTGGGTGAGAAGTTTTATAGAGCGATATTAGACACATTTTTTTTGGTCATCTTTAGCATGACTTCTATTATTTTCATTTAATGTYCAAAAGGTTCATGAAGTCAGTAAAGCACTCAGTACATCTCCACCAGTACCATGCTATTCATGACAGTGTAGATTCCACTCTGACATTCACCCCAAGACATTCTTTACAGGCCAGAGTCCCAACCTACATGGCTGCTTCTGACAAACAGTTACCAGTCACCTTTGTAGCCCTTCTCTGAGACTTTTCAGAGTCTAATATCTGTTTTTTGAGAGGAGAGATTGGAAATGCACACAAAATTGAAAGTTAAAACTATTTAAAACTATTAAGCCCATAACAACTTTGTTTTGCTTCCTTTTTTTGGCCAAGTATTTCCATCTGCCACTGGAGTCCACCATTTCACAAAACAGTAGTTCTGCTGATTATAAAGGGTCATTTCCATGCCTACCATTAACCCTGTGAAGTTAAAATCTCAGAATCAGAGATTACTCTTATTCAGTCTTCGCTCAGACATACACTGATTGATGACAGGAGATACCTGTTGTGCTGTGCCCAACCATAAACAGAATGATTAAAAACCCCAGAACTATTAAGTGTACATTTTCTTATATCCATACAATACAGCATCAAATCTGTTATTATTAATATTTCTTTTTCTTCTAACAAATGGGTTTACCTTCATTTTTCCGCTGTATTTTGGATCTGAAATTGTTTCAAAGGCTGCATCTTTGCTTAACTGCACAAAATCTGGAAAACTGGAAAATACCTGGCTGCAAACTCGTTTGATGTGAGCTTCCTGTAAGCAAAGCAGAAAGATTCAATAGATGTTAAAAGTCAGAGCTATGTAAGCCATACAAAGAGTTAAATAGTTGAAACATGGTCTGCGAAGTATCTCAAGCAGAGTTACATGGGTTTTAATTTAGTTCCCTACAAAACTGCTGGACAAAACATATCCCATATGTTTTGCTTTGTTTCATTTAAAAACAAAAGAGATTCTTAATCTGAAACCACCAGATCATATTCAAAATTTATTCTCCTGGCCAGAAATTGTCAGTTTCAAAAAATTCTGTTGCCTCAAGGTTTGCATTACCCAACAGCTGTGCACCAGCATCTTTTGACCCTCTGCCATAACAGGTATGGGAATTACATATTGTTCCACAATGAAAAACTGTACAGGAAATACACTTAATCTGYATGAAAGCCACATAAAGCTCCGCTCCAAATTTAACTATGAACTTAAACACTTTAAGTCCACTTTTCCAGAGAGAAAGAAAAGCCCATATCTCTCACCTAAGAGTAACAGATCTAATGGCCTTCAACACTAAAGATAAGAATTACTACAAAGTATCAGCTTCTTTAGTAGATGTTGGCAAAATTAATAATTATGCATGACACAAAAGACAGTAAATCACAAAACAGTTGTATTCTGGTATTTCAGAGGTATTAAAATAYCAAATGTTATTAMAACAGAAATTACATATGATATACACAGAAAAACCCCACTGAAAAATGTGGGTATATACTGTGTATAAGGTTGTGGACATTAAGAATAACATTTCCAAAAAAGAAAAACTGTTTTAACAAAAATTTGCAAAATTAGCTAGGACATTCTGATTACTCTTCCTTGACAGCTTCTAAAAGAAAGTGCTAACATCTCTAAATTGCCTTCCTCATTCCTGGACCTTAAGGCTCACAAACAAATAATTCTAAATGCTGCCATTTGTGGATCTTGTTACATGCCACAGTAACAAGATAAACTGATGCTGATCTCTCATTAAGCAATTTCTTCTAAAACAYGTTTCTTGCTATTTAAACAAAGTCAGCTTTTAATCTAAAATACAAGAGGAAAAAAAATTTAATTCTCTATTGTTTATTGCACAAAGACATTCCTCTTACAGGCACTTTTCATAAATGCAACAAAAATGGCACTATTAGAAATCACTAAAAATTACTCTTCCTCCTGATCTCTCCAATGTTTCATAAACCTTACTTGCAGATATGCATCAACTAAATTAACATCTTGTTTTGTATAAAGTCTTTAGAAGGTATGCATTCTGTATAACTGAATAGAAAAGCAATTTCCCAAAATATTGTAACTGCAGATAGTTAAGACTTTGAAAAGAGGTCAGTAGCAATTTTTATTCAACGCTTTCATCCCTTTCATTTTCCACAAATCTGTTTTTTAGATACATCTGAAACTAACCTGCAGCTTGCTAGTGTTGTCCGTCTGCAGCAGTCCAGCATGATTTGCAACCTTCTGTAGGATCATTAGATAGCTGAAGCGCAGTGACTTTATCGTTTCACCATGTGCATTTACCTACAAAAAAAACTCCCATTGATGCAAATACTCCTGAAAATAAGTAGTAATCTCAAATAAATGCTATTCTTACCAGGTGTAATGCATTAACAATTCTTGGTAGTATAACTGATCTCCAAAAGATGCATATTGCATTTTTGATAAAAGTGAAGCAAGTTTTGTTTTTCCATCAGCTCTGTGAACCTAATAGATAYATTCTCAATTAAAAAAGCAAAAACCCTACAGCTATGTTCACTGTTTGATAACCATTTCAGACTGYAATTTCWACAKATATCACACTGAGAAAACCAAGAGTTCCTCAATAAAYAATAATATGGTAACTAGACAAAAGTGATTACATCATGCCAGAGCAGTTTGAATGACTTCTTAYCCTACAACTTCTAACTTTACTTTTCTCTCCAGCAAAAACATATAAAGCTTTATAAACATCTCAAATAATTTAATTCAAACTACAGACATTCTACAATGCAACAGCAGGTATCTAATCAGRTATCTTCCTGGTTATGGTTGGCTGGTTTAATTAATATTTGTTTTCCCTTCCCAATCTACTMAATTTCACAGTTAACTTTGGAATAAAACAGTCCATAAAAGCACTTAACTATCCGCAGGCCTGTCTACTGCCCTTTGTGAATCAAGTTCAACAGCATTTCATTTTTTTGACAAAACATCACTTGAAATAAAAGCCTGCAAAGAGGGCTAGCATCCACAATATATTAAAYAGATTGACAGGCAGAATGCTCATAAAGAAATATGCAGAAGACTGAACAAACTACAGCATTTGGAAAAAACCCAACCACTACACAAGAATCAGAACAGGCCAGAAAGAAAAAAAGGGAGAAACAAGCATGAGACATATGCTTCTAAATGTTTTAAAAATACGCTTAATCCGAGCCTACTGAGTGATGCAGGCAAAACAAATACAAAGCTAGACTAAATCAAGCATTAAAGAAGCTCAGAGAAGACTAAAGAAATCTGCAAAGCTGCTGCTCATGGACAAATTTCATCTTGTGCTCTGTGGCTGCTGTTACAGCTCTCTCTGCACTGAAGCAAAGCAAAGTCAACTTTCAGCCACACAGAAAGGCACAGCTAAAACAGCAAAATGCCCAGGCAACCTGCTGAGTTCAGGTGCCATTTGCAGCTTCTGCACAAACCACCTGAGGCACGTGGGAGCAGCACACCTGTCACATATTGAACATCCCAATGCTGTACCCTTGCCAGTATCACTAAATGACAGGGGCATTTATTAACACGAAAGATCCAGAATTTACTTCATAAGAACAAACATCTACTCAGGACATGCAAAGCAGTTTTGCAGTAATCCCAAAGTGCCTAACTCCATCCATCACACTGGTGATACAGCTCGCCCAGTTTCCAGCTGGGATTTCCCAAACAGATGGCCTACCACTAGGCACACAYTTCAATCAGCTCATCATCAGCAGAGAGTCTCTTGAGAAATTGAGAAGCTTATGCCCAGAAAAGCAAAACAATGCCAAGTTCTTACTTTGTAACAACAGTTCTTCCTTTTCCGGCCACTGTTGCAGCTACAGGGCTCTCCTGCTCTTAACACCAAGGTTACATCGTCTGTCTCTAGCACCGCCTGGTACACCGCTTTCTGGAATTCAGTTAGGGAACAAAACACCATCTGCCAAAGAGAAAAACCAAGAAACACTATCATGTGCAGCATGAAATCAAAAGCAAAAAATGTACTGTATCAAAAYGCACAAATCACAGATCACTGAAAATAAAGTAGAAATAAATACCACACTTGCTCAAATAGTTACAGGAAATTATTCCACCACCAAATGAAAAAGAATGTGGATCTTGAGACTGAAAGTGCATGGAACTGTAGCCAAAATATATGCATACTTACTTTATTCCATCCCAAAATTCTACAAAGAATATCAACATCATTCTACAAGAACCTACTGTTACTTTTCTAAAACCTTTCTATATGGCTTTTGTGGAGGAATARGAGGAGGAAGGGAAAGTGAGAGAAATAAAGGCACAATTTTAATTACAGATTTCTCTCTGCTTTGCAAGATGCTTTATTTGCCCTCTCTTTCCCCTTTTTAGGCATTAGCTCTTGTAGGGTACTACCAGAAGCAGGACAAACAGAATAAGCAATGAGAAGGCAAGGATCTACACAGTGCTATGGCCAAAACTCTGATCCCTCTTCTTAGAGACCATGGGTGGCATCTCCATGACATCTTTAGTCTTAAGCAGCAGGAGACAGAAATCCCAAGAACATTTCTTARCCTATGATATCCACATAGTAGCAGCACCATGCTGAGCTGTAATAATACAGCAGTAACTTGAACATATACTCACATTAACAAGATAATGAAAAGAATAAAACCTGCTAGATTCAGAAAAGCAACTGACTGATGCTTGTGTTAATCTTTCCTTCAGAAGACAGCCYAGATGACATTATTATAAATGAAGGATGAAGAATAAATACCAAATTTTGAAAACAAAACCAGCTGCAAACCTATGTATTTGTCTACTTAGTACAAAAGATTCAGCCGAACTCCWAGCTAAATTAATAAAGTATTATCACTTCATATGGTATTTACAACTTTGTCAGATTCACAACATTACAGACCTATGAAAAAATCAGCATTGTCTGAAGTTTTTCTTTCATTTAGAGATCARAAATGAGGGAGTTAAAAGCATACTGTTCCATACAAAGTATCAAGCTACAAATTCGGAAGTTCTACATATAATTTCAAGAAATTTGCATACATTGCTTAGGGCTTGCACAGATAAGGACAAAAAAACACATAAAATAGATCTGTAAATCACTAGTCAGAAGACTAGCTGAGCATTTTCATGCCTGATTAACTCCATTTCAATGTGTAATCATAGTAATTATGTGAACAAAGCACAGTATTGCAAGTGCACTTTTTCCAAGGCTACGGATTCTTTTTAAATTAATAAGATGAAGGGAAAACCATAAACTACTACAAATATGACGAAAGAGAGAGAATACAACAAGAAAACAAAAAAGAAGAGATACGTTCATTAGCACTGTATTTAAAATGTGAAGGCACTCTTACTCTGTCTTCCTTTTTTGGCAACTGATCACTGATAAGCGCCTTGGTACGTCTCAGAAACCAGCCAGACATTTTTCTTGCTAGCTTCACCATGGCCTTACGACCTGTTGCTAGCTCTCTTTTAGTTGCAGTGTGCCTCTGGCCATGCTCCACTGGATCAGAAAATTTCTTCTTGAAATGTACTCTGCTACCTAAAAGTCCTGGTATGGCCCTGTTGAAAAACAAAAGTGGTGGGGGATTGATTCACTGAYGTAAAGCATACTACATATATTTTTTTTTTCTAACAGCAAGAGATTTTAAAGTAGAGAAACTACTAGGAATTGTAAGTACAAATAAAAACATACACTGTTTTCAGACATGCCATTTTTCATTAGTTTTCTGTAATTGTCAAATGCTAAGAGACACCCTCTAGGAAAAGGKTGCAATCTTAAGAAAAACAAGTTTAGCAGATCAACAGAAATTGCAAGTACATAGAACCTCTACACTACAAGGCTGCTAGTATTTAGAAACCTAAACTGGAAGCCAAGCAGTMATGTTTTCAATTTTTACTGTTTTTATTAAATCATAATTATATGCAAATACTACAATTAGCTAAATAAAACCTTGAGAAACCCAATTGTAAAAATAAGTTAGTAATTGTTATCAGCACAACACATTGCAACAATCTATTAATAACATCAGCATAATTTTAATGGACCAGATGCAACACTAAGCTTAAAATAGTCTTTATGTTATTTATGCTCTGTATAGCCTTATATTTAAAGTATGTTCACTTTGTTCCTTCTCTGTTAAGCATTCCCAGGAGGTCTAGATTTTTATCTTTGGTTAGTTGCACCTCTCCTTCACCATTAAAAGTTTTTCTGGACAAGACTGTTACTTTTCAAACATGCACTTGTGCATTTGGAAAAAAAASCAAAATTTTATTACTTTTATCCTCCAAGTAGTTCAGAATTATCTGCACATATTGGACAGATCAAAGGCACTATTGTGGTCAAGGCTGTGTAATGATTCCCTATCTACTGGGCAAAGGAAGAAAAAAGTGTCCTTAGGAAAAAAAAAAGTAAACACAGGAGGTGTAGGAAGAAACATTTTAACTACTTCCCAAATTTCCCAAAAAAGCCAGTTGGGATGAACTCCAAATGTACTAAGTAACTGCAAAATACAGGAGTTTAACCTCCCAGGTACAACACAGTTATATTCTCACAAAACATGAGGCATTTTGAGGTTTCGGGGTTTTTTTKAATAACACAGATGGGTCTATAGCATCCACTTCTACGCCACCCCCATTGCACAGTTAACACACAGAGATGCTTAACCACAAAAAGAAGTATTTTATTTACCAGTCCATAACACACCAAAGCTCCTTCATATTGTTTTGAAGAATGGTTCCAGTAAGACCTATGCGAACACKGCATTTCAATGACTTCATGGTTTGAGTTACTTGAGCCTTTGGATTCTTGATTCTATGTGCTTCGTCCACTATCACAGCAGACCACTCTATACTGCAGATTAAAAACCAATTTCATTAACTGACATTACTAGTTCYATCATCCCACACATACACATAAAAAGTGAAGTCAGCCAGACAAGTAGCTGTAATTGTTCTATAACACACTATTACTTTTTRCTTTCCCTGTTTTTTGTTTTTATACTGTTCCATTTCTTTAAATTATTTGTTYAGTAAATTCAATTAGAATATTTGAACATAATGGCTAAACTATATCAGCAAATAAATAAACTACTGTTAACCGTATCAAATGCTTTCGGGAAGAAAGTAGCTTTAAATCTRTGCAGCAATGAATCAAGCACATCTCACTAAAATTAACTCCACTCATAATTACAATTTACAAAAAATAAGTAAGTCTCCAAAATACGCTTAAYATAGGTATTCTTCATTTTCCTGACAAAAATTATCCAGCACAACTTCCAGTGAACTGAAAACATTTAAATCTGCATGGTTTTCTTCAACAAAGTGTCACTCAAGAATGTCTATACAATACCAATATAGCAGAGCAACTTTAATTTTCRTGATTATGACTAGAAGGAACATAGCTATAAACAGTGACCAAGAGGTATTTTGCAGCTAGTTCAAGAATAAAACTTARGGAAAAAAGAACCATTTACTATAATAATTTAAGTCATCAAGTCCCAAGGAAGAAATTTATTAACTTTATGAGTTCACTTTATATACATGAATGAATATTGCAGAACACAATCATATCCAGTTTGATTTGTTGTAAAAATGCTGAAACAGACATGTTTAGTAAAAAGCCTCTCTCTTGAACAGGCTGGATTTAGTTCATTAATGAAGGTCGATCTTGTGGCATTTTTGATACTCACTAAACACATTCACTAATATTCGAGCTCCTTACATTCCCAAAATGTGCTAAAATGTTGAGTTCTGAAAGAAGTCTTAACAGATGTTTATGCGCTCTTTCCACTTAAATCACTCATACTAATTTAAATGCGTAACTGAGCATTTTTATTCTTATTCCTGAAAGCTAATTATTTAAGAGCCAGTTTTGAGGCCAATCCATCACTGTAGTCAAGCAAGACACAAAGCTTCTTCTAGTGTCAAGATCATAGGCCCATCTAGTCACCACACTCTGTAGAAAGAGTCTGGCAAATCCCCATGTTGAAGGAATGTATTAGCAGGCAGTCACAGATCAGATCTGCTCCACACATGCACCTATTTCCTGACCGTGATCTAYTGCATGATCAAGCATTAAGAGTTTCTCAGGGAGAACACAAATAGTTAGGGTGCTGACAACATAACTACTTTACCCCTCTATCTGTACTTCTCAGACCTGAGCACAGAGATGAAGATCTGACTGTTTTGCTGATGGATATCCAGACAACTAGGTTACTCTCCGGGGCCTGGACCTTTCCCAATGCCTGAAATGCCAAAATCTGCAGATCCACTCACATCAGCTGCTGAGGGCAGGCTGATACCACCAGCTATTGACACAACTTGTACCTMCTTCCAAGATGACATAAGGGAAAAAGACCTCTAGGATTGAATGAGAAATGTGTAGGTTTAAATCTCAAAGTTTGTAGAGACCAGTAATTTCATCAAGCTGGTAAAAAGYGCAAATAACAAGGAAAATACCTTTTTGAACAATCACCTTTGAAGGTGATTGGTCTTCTTACACTTCACTGAAAGATAGGAATACTTTCTATGTATCTTTTAGCTGTCACTACTTTTCACACAGGCAATTCGTGCATCTTTCAGAGAACATTTCATAAGTGTGCTGACAGCAAAGACTGTTTTTTAGGAACTGTTCCAACGCTTACTGCTACCAAGTGTCCCATTACAAAGATAGCTGTACTGGGTCTGGTCATCTCTCTGAGATGCAGTTAATTTTCCCACAGCAGCCCTCACAGGTCTGTACYTTGCATCCACAGCTGGAAAGGTGTTGATAACACAGCAGAGCTTTGGCTRCTGCTGAGCAGCACTGACAGAATATCAGTGCTGTCCCTCAACATTACCCCCACATCAGTAGATTGGGAATGGGCAAGATCATGGGAGAAGACACAACTCAGCCAGCTGACCCAAATTGACTACAGGGATCATTCGTTCCACATGACATCAGCTCAGACAAAAAACCTAGGGAAAGGAGAAGGAATGGGGCATTTGTTATTTACAGTGTCTGCCTTCCACAGCAACCACTATGTGTGCTGAAGCCCTGCTTCCTGGGAAGTGGCTCAACACTGCCTGCAGATGAGAAGCAGGGAACGAACTTTTTTTTTTTCCTCTCTGCTTATGCATGCCTAAACTTTTGCTTTTCTTTTAGTAAACTGACTAATCTCAACCATAGAGTTGGTTTTCATCTTAATTTCTCTTCCCTGTCCAKCTGGGAAGGGGAGTGATAAGAGTGGCTTGGTRGATACCTGACATCCAGCCAAGGTCAACCCACCAGAATAGTACAGGTTAAATTCAGTAGTACAGGTTAAATTCAGAAGTACAGGGATTCTTCTCTTTAGCACAGTGAGTCACTGGATTTAACAGTAAATACACTGTATTAAAAAAGTACTTACAAAGTACCATTAGACCGTTAATACTAGGTGCATACAAACACATTAAAGCCATTACCTGTTAAATTCATTCAAATACAAGCGAAGTGTCTCATATGTTGTAAGAGCAACTTCAAATTTCCCTTGCTTGATGCGACTCATGGAATCGTCCTTTTTACTGCCATGTAAGATACAGACCTTAAAGTATCCCCATGTGTCTAACTCATCCTTCCAGTTGTACAGCACTGAAAGAGGGGCCACGATGAGGAAAGTCTGAAAACAAACATATGACAGTATTACTTGAAAAAATACAACATAGCACTTTCTCAATAATGGAAGTCATGATCTTGACTATTTTACTGCTCTGAACAGTCTGACTGTTTAATTCTGTCATTTCAAAGCATGTATGGAAAATATCTAAACAGTTACTACAAATTCCAAAGTAATCTGCCTACTCTGAGTATGTATATAATACAGCAGAAAAATACTGCAACAAAAAAATTAAATACTAAGCAGCACTACTTACTCAAATTATACTCTTAATAACTGCAGTAAGATGTGAACCACTATCACTTTAGCATCTGTATACCATAAAATGTTTTGCAGATGGAGAAAACAAAAGGAGAAAGARGATAAGCAGCTTCCTCAAATCCACAAGTCTAGTCATCCCGTGACTTGAACATAGAAAGTCCTGAAAAGGGTTTAAAAATTTAAGACAGCTCATACAATTCACTTGATATCACAGAATAATGAAATCAATGAGGTAAGAAGTGGCTTTGGGACATTTTCACTCCAACTTTACAGTTAAAACAGCGGCAACACTGACTTCAAATCCAGGCTTTCCCAACTGAGGTCTTCAAAACCTCATCGGGATGGATAGGGTCTACAACCTCTCTACAACCTGTTTCATCACACAACACTAGTTTTCTACTCAGTGACATGGGCTTTTCAAAGTACCCTAGCCACAAATCTAACCTAGGTAYCTCAAAATGCTTCCCATTAGTACATAGGAACAGTAGTAACAGATTAGACAATAGCAGCGACAAAGAGAGGGCTCTATGGCTATGTGGAAAACTGAAGGCTTCCTAAACACTATCAGGAAAGGCATGATTCCTAATCTACTTCAGCAGCTGAATTTCAAAAATGAATGTACAYAAACTCCTAGAACAAATAACCAAACCAAAAAAATCCAAGTACTGTCTTTTAGCAAAATCCTTAAGCTAGTATCACTAAAAGTTGTACCTTCTTGGGGTTACAATCTGAGCCCCTTTTCATCGTCCTCAGTAAAAACTCTGGCATATTATTTTCAATATCCTCACGTGTCCCCTTCTTGTGCAACACTGCAGCCAAAAATGAAATGACCTTGAGAAAGAAAACAATTCTCAGTGATTATGTACAATAAGAAATTGAATGAATTCCACAAAAAATAAACATTAGGACAAAATCCTGGATAGGACTTAGTAAGGTGGCTAAGGAGGGGAAGGGTTCTATGGGGGAAGGGGAAGGGGGGTGTTTGTTGGTTTTAAATATATCTGGTTTTAAAATGGGAGCATTCCCTCCCTTGGATTCCCAAGAATTCYTTGAATTCATTACAACAGCAATTAATTGCTCTATCTCACACTTTTATTCTCTAAGTGGAAAAGTCCCAAAAATACACAACAGACAGAGCATGAATGAGCCAGGAAAAAATAGATATGAGACTTGTCTTGAAACTCTCCTTCTTTTCAGGGCATTTGAATCTCAGATGAGAAAACAGAAGGGACAGATATCCTCTAACTATCCTCTCAACTATTTCTGCAAAAGGAMGAAGAGGCGTATCCTAGAGGTTTGCTTTTTACTAATATGCCTTTTTCTGTATGTTCCATTCCTTCAAATTCCTACTATTAATATCAAAAACATTTTTTTCCTGTTGTGCTATATTCTCACATCTGCCTCAAACCAGTCAAAGTGATTATGAGAAGGTACTTATTACAATACACCACAGCATGGACAAACATCACAGCACAGGCTATTCCAAACTATCATAATCCAAAACAGGAAGAAGGCAGAGAAAGATCTGGCCAAAACATGCAAATCTGTAAAATCCACTTGGGATAAGTGGTATCCATGGGACTAAGCAGCAGGAAGGATCACATGCATCATCAGAGAGGTGCCCTTCTTTTGAAAACTTAACAGGCCCCTTTTATTCAGAGCAGCCAGCTCCAGCCACTTCCTTTTTGCAGCTGCTACACAGATGCTCATAACAGCACAGAGTCAGAGCTACCAACTGTTGATTACCAAAAAAAATCTTTCTCCCTCCAATGATGGAGAAAAGCTATCTGCCTGAGAAGAGCAAATTTAGATGGAAGGATCAGAGCAAAAATCCATCACATGTATAGCCGCAGAGTGAATGAGTGGTATGCAGAAAAAAAATAACCCATTTTTATACGTAATACTTTTTAAGCTGAGGTTGTGATGAACTGCCAGCTTGCACATGCTGTTTAACTACGGACTTTTAATTTCTTCTTTTAATCCCTTGAGGATTAGAATTAAATTCAACTGAACAATAAATCTCCATGTCTCTASCACATTCTCTGTTCTTGGACAAATTTGCATCACAAATTTCCAAGAGCAGCAAAGGCTGTGAAATGGCAGTTCATTATCAGAAACCTCTGCCTCTTCCATCTAATGCAAGAAGCAACCTAAATGCCTTGAAAGGAAACTAATTTACTATAATCATACTAAGAAATGACATTATTCTATTTGCCTTCTCTTAAACCTCAGCTTTATATGAAAGAGCCATATGGTCAGGCCATTTAAAGCAAAAATCATATCAGAAGTACAAAGAACATTAACATTCAAAGAATTTCTAGAAGAATCTTTACCTCATGAATCATCCTCTAATTTAAAAACAATAAGGTTCAGCCAAATGACAAACGTAAGTTTTTTTTCTAAGACTAAATCAGTTATTTAATGAAATTTAAATTCATTTTTTCATATGTGTTAACCTTTACAAAACAAGTTAATTATTCCTTTTTACTTCATATCCACTGATCTGCTGATATCCCACAATGAACTCGAACATAAACACTGTGTTTCACCAAGTCCTTCTTTACAGGGATGCTGTCTAGAACTTCTCCCAGTCTGTGCTCATGTCTGGGATTGTCCCAATCCAGGTGCAGCACYTTGCACTTGGACTTGTTGAACTCCATGAGGTTCTCATGGGCCCAGTTCTCAAGCTTGTCTGGGTCCCTCCGGATGGCACCCCATCCGTCTGTTGTGTCAATAGCACTGCTCAGCTTTGTGTCATCTGCAAACTTGCTAAAAGAGCACTTGACCTCACTGTCTGTCATTGGGGAAGACATTGCACAGCACTGGTCCCAAAACAGCCAGAGGAGCATCACTCATTATCAGCCTTTACCTCAACACAGAGCCATTGATCACAACTCTATGGCTGCATCCATCCATCCATCCATCCATCCATCTAGCCGGCCATTCCTTATGCATCCATCAAATCCACACGCCTGCAGTTTAGAGGTAAACCATAAACGTGGGACCATATTGAAGGCCCTACATGAATCTAGGTAGATAACATCAATCATTCTTCCCATATTGACCATTACCATCAATCCACTGTATCAGGCCACCAGCTTGGCCAGGCACAAGTTTGCAGGCTGCCTCAGATCAATCTSCTCAATCTTTTCTGACTTACAGAATCCCTTCTTGTTATTCTACATGTGAGATATTCTTCACATAAAATATTCTTTGAAATCTCTACTTTTTTTTCTGAAAACTTGACACTGATTAGAAGCCATCAGATGTGAATTCCACACAGGAACACACTGTCACTGTGTGATAATTGTGCCTAGAGAATCAGCTCTGAGATTCAAAAAAATGCAAGATGTAAGCAAGACAAGTAAATTTACTCCCTGCTCCCCAAGTTTACTATTATCTATATATACATATACAAATATATATATATGTATCTTACTACATGAGATCAGATTATTTACAGTTCTGGGTAGAAACAGTCTTCCATAACTACTCAGTTCTTCAACKGCCATGGACAAGAAACTTGGCCATGTTTAAAATGAATATAGTTTAATCAGCATCTGTTAACAGGGGATCATCAGCTATACATATAAATCCATGATACACCTCTAAACGCTCTAAGAAGAATTTTGGTAGTTTACTTTACTCAYTCCTCTTGTTAAGTTTGCTACAGGACAATATTTCTTTGCACTGAAAGGCGTCTGTCAACATTCTCTTTAATGGAAGGGCAATAGAAACCACAGACAATACTTGTCAGTGGAGGAATGAGCTTGCATTGGACAGATTAAGAAAGAGAAAAGAGAGTGGGACAAAGACGTACCTCATAGAACTCAAACTACTAACTTTAAACCAGACAGGTTATAGAGAATTTCTACACATAAAAAAAAGCTTAATTATAATAAAATAAGTAAAAAAAAATAAAATTTCTAGCACAAAGATTCAGAGCATAATGAAAAAACTCAGCTACGCTTTGTCCTCTCATCAACCAAGATGCATTTTCAAAAGAGTGACAGAAGTAGCACGGAACACCAAAGTGTTTTTTACAGAGATGAAAGTAAAAGTTCTTTCCCATTCCCAGAACAGTGAAAGTATTCGTTTTCAGGAAAAAAGGAAAAAGGTGTTTTAAAAACAAGAATCAGATAAGAACCCCAAGTTCTTTTAGTGTACTCCAATGCAAAATCCTTTCATCATGGCCAGGTAGCAATCCTCAAAGCAAATTCAACACACTAACACTTTAACTATTGTAATTACTCATGCTTACACTAAAAGAAGTCAGATCCCAGTTTTATGGCCTGTTAGGAGTGAATCTTAAATCAGCAATGGACTCCTGGCTCTGAATACTGTCCTGGACATCATGGCCTGCCTTATCCAACTCCACAACAGCAGAGGGAGGTTTAAGCTTTACATATTGCTTTTTAAAAAGATTTGCAAATCTTGGAGAACATGCTATTGTCCCACTGTAACAAATAAAAACAATACCTGTATTGTCTTTCCAAGGCCCATATCATCTCCAAGAATACACCCCCTTTTATTAGCATAATGTCTATACAGAAACTGGGCTCCTTCCCTTTGATAATCACGTAGGTATCTGTTGATTGTATATGGGATAAAATCACCATTGTCAGATAATTTAAAAGCAACCGCAGGAGATGGAAGACTTTGGTCAGGAAAACATGGCTTTTCCAGATCACCCTCATCAAATATTAAGCTTTTCCAGGGTCCTCTATTGTCTTTGACTTTAYGAAGTTTTGTTACTGCTATTTTCCTTTCTTCAGACTCCAAGAATGATACAACAGCAAATGATTTTCCATTCTTGTCCTTTTCAAGAGAAGTTATTGTTCCTTCATAAAGTTTTCCATTTTCAAGACAAGGGGCAAGGCATTTCTCCCCAATACGCCAATGGTCTATAAAAAAAAAACAAACACAAACAGTGATAAAGTGGCCTGATGTACAAAATATTTCATTTCAATATTAAAACARTGGATGCACATTTATTTGACAGAAAGCACAGTTTCATATAAAACACTTTACTGAAGGCAGCATTAGAATCAAGACACCAGTTACTGTTTACAAGCCTGAGCTAGACATAAAGTTACAGTTTGCTCTAACACCACTATTTTAGAAATACTAGAAGGTGTATAGGGAAAAAAAGCAAAATCCAGATTCTGATACATCAAGTTTACACAGTGGCTTCACACAGGCAAACACAGCAGTATATATCACAGCAGAAATAATCCGCATCATACTGACAATGAACAAAATACCTCTATCAGAAAAAACATGGTTTTCACCATAAAAAGACCTTGCAAAAAACGGCTGCGGACAAAGGTTTCCAAATCTGAACTGAGAGAAAAACAGCTGTTCTGTTGAGCTTGCAGGAAGGATTTCTCACCTTCCCCTTCTCAGTCATCCCAAAACAAAGGAATACATGATCCATTTGAGAACCTTTATGGTTTCTTATCTGTTTGCTGGAATAAGTTTTGATACTTATAAGAAAGTCATTATCAATTGCAATGATAGGCACCTATAGTTTATACAGGGAAGAGTGAGCCAGAGATAATCTTGCACCAGAGTAAGTATTCATCATTTTATGACCAGTGATAGTACACTTTACAGGCAGATCAACTCAGACACTTTTCAAAGGTAAGGAAATAAGCCCTGAAAGCAAGAAACTCCACATTCAWTCATTTTTATGTCGCCATGTGAAAACCACACTGAGAAGACTGGTTCTCCTCACCAGGTCCTAAGCACCTGGAAGCATCCACTTACAGGACTACTTTCCACAATGTATTAGTTAAATCAGGGATAACTATCATTCATTTTTATAATGGATTTCATTATATACACGAAAATAATATTCTGCAGCCAGCACTGGCCTTAAGTTGACATGCAGGTAATGATAAAAACAGTACAAGCCTACAGAACATCCCTCTTCCAAAATTCTTTGGCCCTAAAGTGTTCTTTTAGCTACAGAGATTTCATGGGCCACATGTGGTTTGTCTGTTCAGCAAACCCCAGCAGACTGCTCTCTTTCGAGGAGCTTCATTCCCCTTTCAACACAAGCAAATTTCTAGAATTTGGCGACTTCTGACTGAAAACATTGCGCGTCTGCTCTGGATACTTGTCACACTTTTGCCTGATAAGAACTTTGATTCAAAGACCTAAAATGATGTCCCACTAGTTCTTACATCAACAAGGTCATAAACCACAGCCTTGCCATTCGACTCACCATTCTGCAGATATCTTTAATAATGTCCCCATACTTTGTGACCTGCTACACAATCTGCTCCAATACCTGCAGCCAGTCCCTAAGATCTTCTCAAAGACTTGAAGCTCAAATGATCTTTCTGAAGCAAAGGGTTATACATTGAAGAAATCATATATAACTAATCGTTAAAGTTCATGGCATTTGTCTCTCATCTCAATGGAAAAAGCTAAGTACATTGACTTCTTCTGGTAGCATCTAATTCTTTCTGYAATTTCATGAGAACAGGAACCAAAACTGAAAACCTGCACACTGTTAAATATGCAAACCAAAGTTTAAAATAGGAGAGGATTTCTGTAATTCTTTTTTTTTTTTTTTACAGTCATGAAGCGATATGTAAAATGTAGTTTAGAGACTCTCGAGTTAAACTATGATTTAAGACGACAGAGTTTTTGGTTTTAACAAAGCATTTACTTGAGGTTAAGAAGTTGCATATGACTCATCACAACTAGAGCTCCAAACGCAAGGTGGAGTAAATTACACTGGACAATGGTACTAGTGTTACCAAGCTTTAAACTTAGTGAGAAACAGGGAACAGAATGAGAAAAAGGCAAATATATATAATGGTATTAAGGACACCATTGCTACAAAAGACCAGAAAATAATGCCATACAAGTCAAAGCATGAACAGCTACTATAACTAGCCTGATTCACTAAGTTCTTGGCTTTTGAAGTAGAACCAAAATTTATGTGGAGCACTGTCTTTAAAAATAAAGAAAATTATCTGTTATGCCTTCCTAGCATGGGTGTAGTACACTTGGCACCACTGATGGTATTGAAGATGTTTGCCTGTACTTACTTCTTTTACTATAGATGTAAAAAAACTGCAATTGTCTATATTAGCTGTACTAAATCATGGTGTAAATGGCTTCTTGTCACACACTAGTTTCTTTCAACCACTACTCCTCTGTGAAATTATGTAGACGCTTTCTAACTAGTGAGGGTTGRCCACTTAACGTAGAGTGCAAGGTTTTGTTTTCCTTCGGGTTTTTTTTACACTCTTAAAGAAACTACTGTAAAAGCAAAATTCAAGGATATTGTAAAGCAAGACACACGGAAGACGCTTACCTGGGACACCATCATCACACATTTTAACTTTTGGCTGTGCAAAGCCCGACGGGGCCCACGGGCGGAGGCACCGGGCGGAGGCGGACGGGCACCGCCGCGCTGGGGACCCACCGCCGTCCCTCCGCCGGCCGGGTGACGGCGGCCAGCACGCCCAGGGAGCCCCCGGGGTGCCACAGTGAGGRGTGCCACAAGGAAGGGCCCGTGGCTGTCCCCGCTCCCCGCACCGCGGGCGCCCCGGCAGAGCCGCAGCCGCGGCCGCACCAGCCTGGCCCCGCCCCGCCCGGCACCGACAGCGGCGCGGAGATATCGCGAGAACTGCGCTGCCATGGCGCTCCGTGCTCACAGGAACCGGAGGGCCAGAGGCAAGTATCGCGAGGTTTGATGGCGGAGCGGGACGGTGGTGGCGGTGTGGGTCCCGGGCCCGTCCTGCCCGGTGGAATGGTTTCCTCCTGATGCAGTCCTGCCCGGTGGAATGGTTTCCTCCTGATGCAGTCCTGCCCGGTGGAATGGTTTCCTCCTGATGCAGTCTTGCCCGCTGGAATAGTTTCCTCCTGATGCAGCCGTCTGTAGGAAACGTGTAAAGCGGGGGGAGGGTGCTGTGTCATGGAATGTGATGTCCAGTTCTGAGCTTCTTACAATAGGGACATGGAGCTCCTGGAGTGCGTCCAGCACAGAGCTAGGAGGATGATTTTAGGGGCTTTGGGAGCATTTCTCTTGTGAGGACAGGATGAAGGAGCTGGGACTGTTCTGCCTCGAGAAGAGACGACTGAAAGGGGACCTCATAAATGTGTATAAGTATCTTGAGGGGGCTGTGTGAGGAGCATGAAGCCAGGCTTTACTCGATGGTTCCAGGAAGCAGTRAGGCATGAGGCAATGGGCCAAATGATGCACCGGGAATTCCACCTGCACACGAGGAAGAACTATTTTAGTGTGTATGTGACCATGCACTGAAACAGATTGTCCAGGCAGGTTGTGAAGTGTTCCTCATCGGAGATACTCAAGAACTGACTGGACACAATCCTGCAGAATGTGCTCAAGGATGACCCTGCTTGAACAAGGAAGTTGGACACAACCCCCACRTCTAACCTTACCTGTTCTGTGATTTTGGGCATAGGAGGAAAACAGATCTTAAGATACTCTCTATGGAAAAATTGGAGAGGTGAGGAAGCAGGGCAAAGAGCCCATACAATGGAAGGCACAGCTGGCCCAATACAGAGCAGCCAGCTGCATGGAGGTGGTGGCTGCTGAGAGACAAAGATCTGACATTCAGGAGAAGGAAAAATCAAGCTGCTTTTTTTTGCAGCCATTCTGTCTCTTGCCTGTGGAAAGCTCTCCACTTTCAAGAGAGCTTAACTGGACATAGTTAAYATTTTGCAGATTACAAACACAGTCAGTAGCAGTTACCCTGTTCTTGCTGAAAAGAAATTAAGGAAGAAGAAATCTGTCCAGATTGACTCATGTATCAGTCACAATGCAGTGCACTTACATGAAGGGCATGGCTTCCCACATCCTTGCTATTACTTTTGACAAAATGCCTTCACATACATTTAATAGTGCAATACTAAGTMATTTCACATCTGAAAGCTAAATTTATATGTGTAAGGAGCATGCAAGGTCTGCTTTTAGAACAACTTTGATTTTTAATGCAGAATACAAATTTGAAGTGATTTCTCCACTATTTTAATTATCTTTTATACAATTTTGGTGAATTTTTAGAAGGGATTGAGCATTAGTAAAAAACTGKTTTCTTTTAGCATATACCACAAAATTCCATACAGTGAAGATGGATAGTCAGACTAGCTAATCAAAAGACTGCGTCCTGCAGTATTTTCAGAAGAAAGGCAAGGCTGTAGATATGGGTCTTCATGCTGTTTCTGCTTGCAGCAGACATGCAATAGGCTACCTGTCTGCTCTGGGAGTAATGTAGACTTGTGCAGCCTAGAGCAGCATTAAGTTGCTTTTTTAAGTTGTCTGCCATTAGCCAGAATTTTGTTCTAAAAGAGGTTAATGAAAGATGGGTTGTGGTTGCTCAGCCAATTGAATTAGTCTGATAGGAAAACMGCAAGCATGAAAGCACTAATACAGTTGCTTCAACTATAAACTACATTCATATTGAGCACCACATTTATTGTAGGAGGTTGTTCAGCGGTAAAACATAATGTAGTACCAATGTTATGTTATTTTTAAAAGAGGCATGTAGTTATGCATTCTTCCAAAAGGAACTTGACAAGAACTATGCCAACCACAAAAAAAACCAAAAACAAACCAAAAAAACAAACAAAAAAAAACCAAAAAAACAAAACAAAACCAGCCCAAAACTGAAATGAGTGGCTTGCCAGATTTGAAAGTTCTGACAGAAGAAGCACAGTGTAAACTGTACATGACCTCGGGTACCTCATACACCTTGATCCTGAGAGCATCTTTAAAAAAGTAGCAAGGACATAGGTTCTGATTCTAAGGAAGCTTTYAAACTGGATCATGTTTGAGGATAAATGTGTGTTTGTTCTACAAGGTTGCATTTGATTCTTATCAAAGTGTGYTTAGTAAGGACTCTGATGCAGGGTTGAGCTGCTGTTTTACAGTGACAAATATGATATTAGAACTTCACAACAGAAAAAAAGAAACAGATGAAATTCTTTCTTGAGCACTTCAATTTCTCTAATAAAAAAGGTAGAAAAATTCAGCATACAGCTCAAGGATCCACTGTGCTTTTATGTCAGTGGTAAGACCTCACTGGCTTAGGTGGAAACAGAATTTCACCTGAAAATCCTGATGAAGTCATTAGGATGAGTCTCCATTACACTTAGGGRCACTCTTAAAGCTCTTCCATTTAGGAGAGAAGACAAAAGGAGGAAAGCACCTTAACCTGAGCATTTGGTTGGCTGTATGTCAACAGGTAGTTTTCTTTTTACCTTTAAAATTTCTCTTGCCAACTACAAGCTGTTCCTATATCTTCACTTTGAAGAATAGGCTAGAAAACAAGCTGTCCGACTGAGACTGGGGCTTCTTTCGTGCAATATCCTCTTTGGTCTGGGTCCATAATCAAAAATGTTTCCAAGAGAATATTTTGCTCTGTCATGTATCTTTAAAAATTTGTGGAATATGAAAGTMCTTTCGGAAATCTTTTTAACACAATTTAGAAGTGATTTGCTGGGATGTGAAAAATGCCTCACGTGGTGTTTCTTCAGGAAAAGATTTGTGAAAGATTTCATTTTGAAAAGCTGTTGCCAGTTGAATATATCCAAACTGTATATCCAAATATATCCAGTTGAAAAGTTGAATATATCCAAACTCCATATTAAAATTTGAACTCTRCTCATATTTGTCTCAGTTTAGATTTCATAAGAGAAGTGTTAGGCTCAGATAACAACAAAAACAAATACCATAATGGGGATAAGCACTTTTTAAATATGTGTTATATCCCTCAAAGCATTTCACAAGTAACATTGTGGCCTTCCTGTTCACTCTTCTTTGACAGAGAGAGGAGACAAATTAACTGATGTGCATCTGAAAAGTGCAGCTTAGTTACATTAACAGTATCCTCCATGTCAGTATGTCTGAAAACAAAGCAAGATGGGTTCTCAGATACACTCAGCATTTGAAAGCCTAACCAAAACCCACAGAAAGTATAGGCACAATTTTTTTAAAAATTGATTGTTTAATTCTGTATTAGGAAAAAGAAGAGGTGGTTCAATTAATTGGCATGAATTTAGCATGACAGCGTTAGAAGTGTCTCAAAGAGGAACTTCACAAAGTGTTATTCACCAAATTAACATTTTGGATAGCCTTTTGTCTCTCCAGCAGTTCATTTGGCAAAGTGTTTTAAACATTACCCATTAACAGTGTTCAAGAAGCTCTTCATGAAAGTGAGCCTGACTGGGTGCTTTGGGTCACCTCCAGACAGAACAAAGAAAAAATATTAGAGCTCTGGTTGCTGCTGCAGGGCCACAACCTCCTTGGGATCACAGAGATGTGGAAGGATAGCTCACTCAGCTGAATGCCACAGTGGGCAGATGTGGGCAGGATTTAGAAAGAGCAGGTCAGGACAGTGGGGAGCAGATCTGGCCTTTTGTGTTAGACAGCAGCAGAGATACATGGAGCTCTTTCCTGGTCTATAGAGACCATGAGATAATGGAGTCCAGGATCTTGAGAGAAGAGAACAAGGCAAATCAAGTAGCAGGATCATGACTGTGAACTTCAGGATGGTGGATTAGGGGAAATTATCTTGGTTTCAGCAGTTCTTTCACTGTTCTCTCCTGTAAAATCCTCAATATACAGACTGATGAAATATGGACAAGATAAGTGGGCAGTGTAGTGGATTGAACTCTGGTTGAACTTTTGGTCTTAAAGGAGTGTTAACAGCAGCACAAAATCCAGCTGCAGTCCCATTACTAGTGGAGTGTTCTGGAGTCTGATACTGGGGCCAGTAYTGGCCATTGGTGACATGCATGGTGGGACAGAGTGCATCCTCAGCAAGTTTACAGATACTACTCAGYCAGGAGGAGCAGGATAAAAACAATGCTGCCATGCTGCCATGCGAGAAGGGTGGTGACAGGCTGGAAAAATGGGTAGATAGTAATCTCATGAAGTTCAGTGAAGTCCCACACCAGCAGTCAAATAACCCTATGCCRCACTCTGGGCTGGACATTGACTAGTTGGAAAGAAGTTTTGCAGAAAAGGACTTTAGARGCCCAGTGGACAGCAAGTTGTCCATGGCAAGTGTTGCATCCAGCAGCATAAAAGACAAGCAGTGTCTTGGGCTATGCGAGGAACAGTATTGCTCAGCAGCCCAGGGGAGGTGAGCCTTCTGCTCTGTTCAACTTCAGATGAARGCACACCTGAAGTGCTGTGTACAGTTCATGGCTCCCCACAACAAGAAAGTCATGGACATAGTGGAGAAATTCCAAGGCCATGAAGTTTACAAGATTGTAGTTGGGATTGTGTAGCCTTGAGAAAAGTCTCAGGGGATATCTTGTCTGTGGGCAAAGACCTGATGAGAGGGTATAAAGAGGATGAGTTCATACTTTGATCAATGGTCCATAAGGCAAGAGGCAATGGGTGCAAACTGAAACAGAACATTCCATTTAATGATRAGGAAAAGGTTTTCAGCTGTGGGGGTGGCCAAATACAGCTGCAGTTTACTGAGGGAAGTTGTAGAATCTGCATCCTTGAAGAGAGTCAAAACCTATCTGGACACAGGTTTGAGGAACATGCTTAAGGTGACCCTATTGGAGTAGGGATAGTTGGACTAGATGTTCTCTAGGG